AATTGTCAAGTTTTATCTGCTAGGGTTGTGAAAGTGTTTGGCTGAGTAGATCACATCTCAATTTGACCTTTCCAGGCTCTGAAGAAGGCGAAACCTCCGAAACGTCAGCAATTGTGTTCTAATAAATTCTATATTAACAACCTCGTGTCTGCTTATTGATGAAAAACATTGAACGTTATTAGTTCAAAAGTGTTGATATCCATAGCTAAGAGCTCGTGTGTATAAGATTAATACTTCCATCAGCTGTAATGTCACATTTTTAACGGAGAATAGATTTCTAGTATAGTATAATCACCTTGCAGCACGTGGTGCTTGCTCGTCTCGGTTAATCCAGTGTTGCTAGAGATGATCTTCTCAGCTCACATCATCAAATCCACCATGAAATCTTCTTATGCTAACGTGTGTGCTTCGTAAATACAGACTGTCCTTATAGTCATAATGATGCTAAGATATTTGCAAAACTTTCTTGTTGGATTTGACAAAACAAGTTCTGCAAATGTCACCATGGTCTTTCCAGATTCTGGCAGCTTAGCATTGTCATCTGAGCAGTGGTCGTATTCGTCTTAGTACGCAACCTTACCATAAAGAAGCTCTTTTGCAAACACTAAAATGCTCCTCTTCACTTTCTATGTGGAGACGACGATATGAGCCATTCGAACACGGTTTGAAGATCGAGCCTACGTCTCAGGACAAATCCATGGTCGCTATAGGTCCGTTTACCACGGAACCTCGTGACCAGACAGCTCTTAATGATTCATGGAGTTGGAGGAATACGAAAAGAAGATAAGAAATCGTGAACACCTGGGGCAAAGCGGAAATTGAACGTTCCAAAATCATTAACTATTAACTAGTAATAAATAAAATAAAAGAACGATAGAGCTCTCGGCGTTGATCAATCCCTGAGGGATGCACTATGCATTCGACTTTATTAAGCATTGTTTGGAGGTGATTGGTTGCATATCTGGCCTTTACAATGACTTGCAGTAGCCTATGGATGTATCGAGCCGGTGTTGCTATCCTTCCAGACAAGTCTGGTACCACAATTTGCGGACCCTGGAGAGACAGTAGGCTTGGTGAGCCTGGGAAGTGGTGATCGATCTCATGTGTATTGCAGGGCGCCTCCGACCACTGCTCAATACGCGCACGTTAATACTAGTTATAAATCTTTTTGCTTCCTATCCGATTTGATTTCGTGCTGTTTGCAGGTGATAAGGAAAAGAACCAAAGTTACACTTTAGTCGCAACATAAAATGAAGAAGAGGATCCACGTGGAAACAACTAGCTAAACTAGTTTTTCTCGAACGATACTGATTGTTGCCCAGCATCAATGCGCACTGGGTTGGCTGGCGGGCCGCCCCGCAGGCGCCTACGACGACGACGTAACCGAGGGCTAAACTTGTTGTTTTCTTAGCCGATGTTCTAAAAGGAAATAAAGGTTTTTGCTAAAATACCATGGACTATTTCTCTTGTTGAAGAGTTACCCATCTACAGTAAGTCGTTTCTGCATAAGGATTCTCGTAGTTGAAACTAATTTACTTTTACTTTTGACCCTCATCATTTCCATCATTATCAAGGAAGCTGAACAAGTTCCTTCCATGCAGTTCTTTTCTCTTCACTGTTTATGCTTGAAGAAGTCTGTTATTCTTCTTTTTAATGCAAGAATGAAGTCATCACCAAGTGGTCTTGCGTTCCTACGGGGTTTATCTTATCTTATCTATCTATCTATCTATTATCATCGTCTTATCACTTGATCAGTCCCCGATTCTCTAGTGCCTACCTTACCCCTCCATTAAGGGCTATCCTTAAAGATGGGTAATTCATTCGATCGACTGGTCGGTTATGACGATTCATCAGCCGACTCTGCTATCGATGGCTTGGATAATCGTCGGAAACGAAAAGGTGAACCTGGGGAAACTCCACCGAAGAAAATAACAAAGCTCGACACTGCGAAATATGTCTACGAGAGGTTATTTTTACAGGTTAGTGACGAGAGCTGTAAACGTGAATTCTTCGAACAGGCTCAATTATTGATCGATTTTTCTGTTTTTTCTTTTCATCATAACACTTATAGTTCAATAGCTAAGTCTAATATCGTGGTATTAGTTTGCTCTTACCTGGGCTTCCTAATGGAAACGCCGGACTCAGCTTGGGAGACGCTTCTGGGGGGATGAATCCCCTCGCTGTACATCGCAGCCCGACAGCTAGGAGCACCTTCCAGCCACGATGAGGCGGCAAATCGTTGTGAGGCGGATAACCTGAAGCAGACTTTGGCTAGGTTCACCTCGGGACTCCAGGCAACCACAATAGCTAAACCGGCAAAACTGCGAAAAAGCGGAAGTTATGCTGGGGCCCGCACAATTAGTGAAGATGGGGCATTCAAGTAAGCTAAGTCTAATAGGCACTGTTTAGGGCGAGGGATCGGATGTGACCGTGCATGCTGTTGGTCACGTTTGGCATCTTCACAAACTTTACCTACAACAGTGCAAGTATTTTGAGGTAGTCTTCTAGTACTTATTCGAGTTTTTGCTGTTGTCGTTTCACTTAACCGTAGAATGTATTAGGTTTTGATGCAAGGGAACTGGAAAGATTCCAAGGAAAACGTCATCCATTTGAACTTTCCTGATACCAACGTCACTCGCGAAGGTTGAGATTGTTCTATTACCAGTATTCTTTTTCTTCTCTAGAGACTCATCTTTTTGCTAGTTTTTTTAAAATCTAAATCATAGTTTGATATGAATGCGTCGTTTTCTTGTTCAGCAATCGCGAGGTTTTTAAACAGCATACATTTAGTTCCATAAAAACAATACAATACAACGCTAGCTGACGTTTCGGCAGTATCGCCTTCTTCAGAGCCTGGAAGGGTATGCTGATATACAATCTACTAGGCCAAACGCTTCAATGACACTTACAAAAAGACGAAAGACTCTTTGGTAATTACACGATCAACAACTTCTCGAAAAACCCACCGCTTTTTCGTGACTTCCAATGAGGAAGTTTAGAACAGCTGATTATAGTCGCATGTGGTTGACGACTGCACCATCCCACATCAAAAATCGATGCGAACGTACGGGATCACGTCGCGTATGACCTCCGGGCATTCATCCCTGCTATTCATTGTAGAGTTTTTGGCATTGATCCAAAAAGCCTCAAGGAGTTTTCGCGCTGGTGTTTTGGACTCCTGTGCAAGGATATTAACTTTTACTTCAAAATCGTCTCCGCTATGCTTTTGTATGGATCCAACAGAATGTCGTGGATCACAAGCTCCTGTTTCACAACGTAGACAACGTATGAATACAGTGTGTGGTCCAAGTCTAACTGGTGTAGTACATCCTTCGGGCGATGATGCAGACCTGCTGTCACTTCGTCCCCATGGGCGACGATATGCGAGTGTGTTTTCACTGTTTTCACTTTCATAGTGTTTCAACGAACCAGACACCATGCAAGGCAATAAGGTCCGTACGCCGTCAGCGTCACGAGGAGTACACTTCAATCACCGATTCAATCTCAATACATCAGCGTGGGCGAAATGTAGTGCAGTCACGATCCGTGTCTACTGACCACCAGGACTCAGCGCCTCAGAGTGATGACGAGGTTGAATTAAATGTGGCAAGAGAGTCGATGCTTCGACAAAAGAGGTCAATTGATAGGCGCACGCTGGAGGAGGAAGATCACTCGAGGTTAGTGGAACAAGAAGAATTGGCTGACTGTGAACTCACTGACATCCTGTCGGACGATGACGATGCTGAAGCTCATAAATCTGATGGAGAGCGTGGTGTAGATTCTAGAGGTAATACTCCTGCATCGAAGGTGTATGTATCGCTATTGGTGGTTAATGAGTTAGATTCTCCTCGTCCTTCGCTTAATCTTTTGTATAACCCGTCCCCTCGTGATTAGCTGTTTCAATTTCGAGAAGCTGTTGATCATGTAATTACCGGAGAGTTCCTCGTCTTTTTGTAAGTGTTATTGAAGCGTTTGGCCTAGTAGATTGTATATCAGTATGCCCTTCCAGGCTCTGAAGAAGGCGATACTGCCGAAACTTCAGCTAGCGTTGTATTGTATTGTGTTTTTCCATGGAAGTAAATGTATGCTGTTTAAAAACCTCGCGATTGCTGAACAAGAAAACGACACATTCATATTCCAATGCCGAGGTTAAGAGAAAGTCGATCCTGGGAACTATTACATAGTTTGATAGTATTTGCAGTTGAAAAGGTATTGTTCTGGTTGTTTTCTTTAGTACATGTTTACTTTCTTTCAATTTGGACTTGTCCTTGCCAAACAAATTGAATAGTAGGTGGGAAAGTACCTAAGAGAAAAGCAAAGCAGAGGCCTCAGTGGTGCAATGTATAACATGTGAGCCCCCGGAAGGGGTAATCGTGGTTCGATCTAGCCTAGGTTCAAAGTTTTGCAAATATCTCAGCATCATTGTGGTTGTATTTCACATAATACCTAACCAGTGGGAAAAGAATGGCAGTAGGTAAAAGTTATACTTACCGAGTAGTGTTGTATGACCTGTAGAGTACAAGTTTTCCACATTTCTATTCTGATTAGGAAGGTTTTTTGAGGTTTCGTCTATGCTTGCTTAGCATTCGAGCTGTAATTTTGTATGCTTAGGACTACATGCCGTGCTTGGATCGCTTTATCATAACCAAATCGAACTCGACTTAGATAAGGCTGAAGGAGTTCTGTCCGCTGCATCTGTTCTGCAGTTGGTCGGCACATCGATTATCGGTTTCATTTAAGGAAAAATTTCTTCTAGTGATTTGTTCACTGTTACAGGAAAGTGTACTGGAACGTTGTGGCGACGCGATGGCTGAAAATCTTGTTCTGGACAATGCATTGCACTATCTTAATCTTGCAGAGACGTACGGTTTACCACAGGTAATAAGGTGTACATATACTTACTTGGATACTTGAATGGCCCGCCCTCACTGTTTGTGCAAGCCCCAGCATATAATTTCCATTTTTTCGTTTTTCTGGCTTAGCCACTGTCGTTCCGTGGCCTCCCGAGGTCAGTCAGGCCAAAGTCTACCCAAGCTCGTCACCGCCACAAGCAATCGCCGCCCTTGTAGATCAGAAGGAGATTAGCCGCCACCACAACGCAGCAAATTTGTTACCAGGACGGTGGTGGATCTTGTTGTTCATTTACTCTTAAGTGGATTTCCTGAAGGAAACGTTGGACTCCTTCTCAGCTTGGGAAACTCCGCTAGGGGTTGAATCCCTGCACTGTACATCGCAGCCCGACACCAAAAAACACCTCCCAGCCACGATGAGGAGGTAAACCGTCGAGCGGGTTTGCATGTAACTTCTTACTATTGTTTTAATGTATTTATAAATTTGAGGTGATAAATCGTGCCTACCATCTTTTGAAGTGGAACTTTTGGAGGATTATGAAGTCAAGGGATCATCAAAGAGAGTTAAGGTATGCTCTTCTTCTTGTAGCATTCAAATCTTTTCGATGTTTACAATTCCTTTATGGTCAAGTGGTTCAAATGTTTAGTAAGTTGGTAATGCTTTGTAACTCTTGAAGGTTATGATGCTAGTTTTCTTAATTATCATAGTTGAAGGGAAGATACATTTATTCGCTTGATTTCCTCTTCTGAATTACTTATCATGGAGGGCGAAATGGATATTTACATGATGATAAAGATGGTAAGTGTTTTGAAGGTGGTTTTTGTGATGTTCTTTTTATGTTGCCACGGATTATTTTACTAAATATGTCAAAATTGCACAAACTATTGTGGTGCTCCACTTTTCCTAATACTTTTCATGGATATTGATTAGTACGAGCAATAACACTTATAGTGGATATTCCTACGAGAGAAACCTCATGCGGCTGCGTTACCGGATAGTGACTTTGTTCGTCAGATGAACGAGTGTCTTGCTAGCTATCCTACTGGTGAATTATTCGTCAGACACGCTGGGTTATTTGCCGCTCTACGTCTTCATCATATAATTACGAGCATAGGTATTACTTCTTGATTTCCGAAATACTTTTAGAAAATAAACGATCTGTCAAGTGTATTATGGATTTCCATACATAGCTTTGCTTTGTCGAGATTTGCAAGGAATTCAGCAAAAGTTTAAACACTTCGGTGTCATCTTTCTGTTGGAGCTAAACAGATTCAAAACAGAGAAAGACGAAAGGAAGTACTGGCATAGTGTGGTGGTGAACACGTAAGCCCCTAGGAAGGGTAATAGCGTGTTCGGTCCCCACCACAGACACCAGCGGTCCGGAGTTTTGCAAATATCTCTGCATCATTATGGTTAAACACATTCTATAAATCGTTTACTATTTTCGCCGACAGTTTCCTTTTTTATTTTAGCTAGCTTGAACGCTATCGAATCTGACAAGCTGATACCCAAGGAAGTTTTGCGTGCCGTTATGGTGGATCAATGGAAAACAACATTGACTAACGAAGAAAACCCAATGGCGTACGTGGTTTTCATGTTGAACTCCTTTTTTCCTCACCTGTAGTGCAGCTATTAGGGCGGATGCAGCGCAGCGGTCGAAGGTGCCCTGCAATACAAATATCCGTCACCGCACCCAGAGGCGCCTAACCTTTCTGTTCCTGCGAGTTCGGAAAATTGGTACTAGACTTGCAGCATGGGCTCGATAGATCGGTAGGCCACCGCGAGTTATTATAAAGGCCAGGTATGCATTCAGTCACCCCTGATGATGCTCAATGAAGTCGAATGCACGGCGCACTCGGGAATTGATCAAAGCCGAGCGTTCTGTCCTTTTTTATTTTTAATGCGACTATGATCCGCGCTCCAATAGACCTAGCATTTCATACCGTTCAGACACTCATTTTAAATCCCACTATATTTCTTTTCAGTTGTAGTAGCTCTTATTTCGCAGAAGTTCGTACTTGTTCGAAGTAATATGTTTTACCAAACTTCGAATGTAGTTAGTTAAGAGCTTATTTAGGGTGAATGAACTGTCCATGGATGACTTCCATGTTAATTCTTTGCGCCTTGGTCGACTGGTAGATAGTTTGCCCGTAAGTTCTGTCGGTACATCGATTTTCCTTGGTTTCATAGACACATGACTTACAACACATACACATGTACGTATACAGACAAGCCAGCATACGCTCACATTATCTCTTTTATGCTTTCCTTTTTGTTCTCTTCTGTTTGAATGGCCAGTTGTTTATTGTGTCCCTACAATTCTCTTTCTTTAGAAATGCTGGCGTTGGGCTGGATTTAACAATGGTGTGGATATTGTGCTGAACATGTGCCATGGGTAGGTTTCGTTAAAAGGTACATAGAGGATTGATTCTATAGTGAAAGCTTTCACAATACTTAGACATTTCCTCTTTTTTTTAAAGATCACTTAAGCCGAAATTTGAGGTAAAACAGAGTACTGCCTAGTGTTCATCATTGTTTAAACCTTGGTAAAGTGTAGCTATTATGAATGAGAATATGTTAATTTAGAATACTTACAATGAAAAGGAATTGTCTGAGCCAAGCAACACCATACTCCATTAACCTTAAAAGTGAACGTGTTATTCACTACAGGTGAGGATATTTTTGTTCTACTTTAGTGTGATATTTTATTGTAGATTAAACTTGTCATCCTTACAAATTAGCGCGCAAATATCAACCACAATGATGCCGAGATGTGAGTAAAACTCAGAACTTCAGGTCCACCGTGAATCCACGATTACTCTTCGTGGGAACTCACGTGTTATCCAATGTACCAACTGAGGTCTTTGCTTATCCTTTTTCAATCGGTTTTCTTACTCTAGCGTTATTACCAGTAATCATCCATCAACGGAGAAGATTTGGGGAGCAAAAGTCGGCATTTAACCCTATCAAGTTGTGGACTTAGTCGAAATCATATCTCAACATCACTGTGGTTATATTTTCACATAACACCCTGCTATGGAGAAAGAAAAGGCTGTGAAACATTTTGATTTTGAATGCAGCTTCAGTTTAACTGGGTTCATTGTTGACTTGTGCTCACCAGATCCTCCCCGAGTACGAGTGATTACTGATGGCAACGTTAGAGTTTGAACAAAAAACTGGCTGGAACAAAGGCTAAGAAAAGGCCACGGTTGGTGCAGTGGATAACATGTGAGTTTGCAGAAAAAGTAATCGCGAATTCGAAGAGCACTTGAAGTTCCGATTTTTGCTCATCTCAGTATCATTGTGGTTGTGAAAGGATAGGAGGATAAGGCTTTCGGCATTGACCGATCCCCGAGGGCACCGTGCATTCGACTTCACTGAACTTCGCTAGATGTGATTGAATGCTTTTTTGGTCTATGCAATGGAATGACGTGGTCTACCAATGTACCACGTCAGTGTTGCTATCCTCCCGGAGAAGTCTGGTGCGGGTTTGCCAACCCTGCGTGGATGGATGATGATGGTGAGCTCTGAGTGCGTGATCGGAACAACGACCACGTGTGTATTGCAGGGCACCGTTAGCCACTGCGCTACACTCGTCCATCATTGCGGTTGTATTGCGCATAACACCCTGGGTGAAAAAAGAAGAGGCAGAAAATAAAAAGGTAGAACCAATGTTATTTTTCAGGGTAATTATCTCTGATAGTAAAGGGCTGTGCCTTTTTGACAGTACGAAACAAAGTGTCACTTTGCGACTAGATCAGGTCAGTGCTTTCTAACATATGTTTTTACTAAGGTCTATGTTGGCATTATACACCTTAGTATCTGGTGTTTATTTTGTCATAATTTAATGTTTTCTTACAGATTTGATATTTCTTAACAGAGTAACCACTTCGAACCTAACTACTTTATTTTCCCCAGAGTGTTGTCATCGCTCGTCTTGCCGACGATATTGTGCTGCCAGTATCTGTTCATTTGCTTTATCTGGCTTCTCAACCTGCTCCACCATCATTTCTTTATGTCAACCGGTATATCAAAGAGATGGTAAAGAAGGAGCATGAAGATTATGATATTACTGGAATTTAAGAGTTCAGTGCCAACCACGACACATAGGTCAACTTTCCTAGAGATGTTAAAATATACCTGGTTAAGACGTTGTGATGTTATCGGTTTTTGGTTCCTATAGAGTGTATGAATGCGGTGGGAAGTTCTTGCAATATTAAGAGAGGAGTAAACCTAACCGCACTGAAATTCCTTAGTTAAGTTTACACAACTCGGTCCATCCGATCTCAGTTAGTTTTCTCCTTCGTATTATACATAGTTATGTAGGATGTTAGATCTCTTGAACACTACGTATCAAAATGGACGTGTATATGTTTTATCCAGACCTTGCAAGAGTCATCGTCTATGAATTCTATTCTCTGTTACATAAATCACCTGTTAAATCCTCTCATGTTGTGTGCTTCGAACGGGTACCAGCGAAGTATCCGTTTATAACCGTCACGCCCCTGGGCTGTTCTATGAATTCTGGTTTCCCAAAGGGCCATGAGCGGCATCACACTTCTTTTATGAGGCCTTCCGTCTTCACTGATTTCGGCAAAAGCTGATTATACATAACGGGTTAACGAAATGTAAGGCTTGCATGTTCATGCACCTTTGGCTGAAAATCATTACGTGTTAGTAAAACTGCAAGGTGCTCCGGTACAAAAAACAGAAGGCATCTCCTATGTCCAGTTCACTCTCAGAGCAAGTCGTGGTTACATTGGAAGATGGTCAATCTCTTAATAGATAACTGAGAACGCCCAGATAGCCTCCCGAGTGGCGAGAGGTCCCTCATATGAGCATCATCACGCACTTCCACTACCACAGGCGCTAGAACCAACCGTGAGTCGTCATCAGCTCTTGTCAGACTGGCTAGTCATCTTATGTACTTTTCTTGCATTTTTCCCTGTTACAGATTTCTGAAACCAAGTTTGAAGTTTTGTATGACTCTGTATATTTAAGGTTTTTTCATTGGTATATATGTATCTGACATAGGTTCTGTAAATTCCTATCACGTGACAGATATAAATCTCCACGATCCACGGTTCTTATGCCCAATTAAGGTCAACGCATAGCTTTAAATATAGCTTCTAAAACCAGTTAAAGCTCCATTACCATATGAACACTTCCAACCAATTCAGTAGATATTCTGGTCATATATCTCATTGTTATTAAATGAGCATTATTTGTGATCTTGTACCTCAAGCTTCCTACCTGGGACGTCTTTGTACTTGTACTGTACATACTTCAATAGATCTTATCATAGGTTAAAGCTATTTACGAACAAGTTAAGTTATCTAGATGTAATCGTATTTTCTAATAAATCTTCAGATTCTTCAGTTATGAGTCCAGGAAGTGTACCTATATACTGCCTTATCAATCTTTTCCATTAAAGAAAGTGCTGTTTGTAGTAGTGCCATCTAGTCAGAAGACGTGACAAGACGTTTGATACTGGAATAAACAAGATAATCTGTGTCAGTTCTTCCAAAAACGATACCGATAGTGGTACTACATTTCTATGGTGAGAAGTCATCTGTTCATATTGTTCATTCGCAAAGTCATTGTTATGAGGAACAGATAACTACCCTCAAATCGATTGCACGGTGTTTGTTGTTCTGCTACGAAAAAGTTCATTTGCTTAGGGAAGGTGAAAATGAACACTTACTGGACTACCACTGATTTCTCGGAGGCAGAAGTATGTGTCGTGGGGGGGTCACAGATGTTGACGAGACAAATGGATCCCTCACGTTCTGCTTGATGAGCATTGTTCAACGTGTCTCTACGTGCGAAGTCTCAGAAGTTATTGGAACACGAACTCTGGTCTTGTATGCTATCCTTTTGTAGCGCTTGTTATGAAGAGAGATTGGAAAATGTGTTAGAAAACATCCATTTCACCGACGACACAACGTATGGATGACAAGACAGGTTGTACAAAATTAGACAACTAGTTGGTTTTGTCAACAACAACAGAAACTACAGCACATGTACAGGTTTCGAAAATACGAACGTGTTGACGAGTCCATTGTATCGACTAGAGAGAGAGAGAGAGTCGTCTTCCGGCACTATATCCTGCATAAGGAGAGACGAGTAAGAACTGACTCCATTCCAACCGTGCACAAGAAGTGTCTACACCTACAGAATTATGGTATACATTGGCAGTGATCCCTCCATAACTGTAGATGCGGCACACTATGTGGTTTTGAAATCCATTTATGATTTGCTAGATGAACTAAGGCATCTCTACACCGATGCATGGTACACAAGCCCTCTCTTGGCTGACTTACTGAAGTAAACGATCATCGTGTTTGCAGCTGCGAGAAACCACGAAAGGGCTTTCCACACAAATCATCACTGGAAGCCAAGTAGTGGGCAGTTGGTAGCGCAGCAGAATAGGACGGCACAGCGGTGTTGAAGTGGAAGGATAAGAAGAAGTAAATTATTATGCTGTCCATGTTCACGACACCACTATTTATTCTAGGCTATCAAAACCGAAAGTGATGGAAACTATAGAGCAAGTTATTCGTGGTTGAATGCATGGAGGATATACGATGAGAGCGTGCTGAAAACCGCTGAATGACTTCAAAATGAACGTCTAATTGTACTGTATTGGATTGAAGAGTGCTTCGATTCCATTCAGTTCTCATTTCGTTGAAGATCGTGACACGAGGGTTCAAAAAAATGGGGACAGTTTATGGGATCTTACAAAGCTATAACAGAGTAGCACGATCAGAAATACGCCACAGTACGTGCCAATTTCACGTGCACCAGATTTAATCGATGTGGAGAATATTATTGTCTGGAATATTTCAATGGACAGCATTCAGTGTGTGCATCACCGTTACGGAATTCTTTACAATCATCGTTGAATGTAGACAAGAACTGAAAGTTCTATATGGAACCACATGGTGTGCTGATGGGTGCGTTATCTCCCGAAAAGGTGATAGCATGTTGTTTAGATCCCCACCGCAGACACCTTCAATCCGGAATTTTGCAAATTTCTCACCACCATTATGGTTATATTTTATGTTTAATTATATTTAAAGATAGATAGGGAGTGGAGAGCACAGTAGTAGTAATGTCCATCACCACGAGCATGGTGCTAGTTCTATTTCGCACCGGGTCAACCAAGCCTCTCATCCCTCCGGGGTCGGAAAATTGGTACCGGACTAGTCTGGTAAAAAAACCACTCTCAATCCAATTGGGAACGCTCCAGCCCGGCTATCTCAGAACTCCAAAGAGAATTGCCGGACTAGCATTCTACGACATTCAGGATGAAATGAAAATCGTCGAGCAGCAACCGACGCCACACGTAAAGTTAGAAGACATTCATGGACAATGGATGCGAGGAAACAGATTATATGTGAGAAGTGCTAGGATCAGCACAGTAAATGTGAAGACAGGTCAAATGTATATACATAATATTTATTATATAAATTATAGATTGTAGACTGCAAGGTGGATGTAAAATAAAAAGGTGATGATATCTGATAGATAAACGATAAAGGATAAAGCTTTCGGCGTTGATCAATCCTTGAGGGATGCGCCATGCATTCGATTTCATTAAGCATCGTTGGAGGGGACTGAATGTATATCTGGCTTTACAATGACTCGTGGTGACCTGCCAATGTATCGAGTCAGTGCCGCTATCCTCATATACAAGTCTGACACTAACTTCCTGACCCCGGATGGATGCAGAGCTTCTTGGTGGACCTGTAGCGCTGTGACCGATCCTACATGTGCATTGCAGGTAGCTTCCGACCACTGCGCCACACTCGCCTTTATCTGATATATATATATATATATATATATATATGGAATAGAATGTATATATATATATTTGTTCTATATATATGTTGCAGATCAATAGTTGTATGTTGTAAAACAAATGTAAAATAAGAGGGTGATAAGACTTGATAGCTCTTTCGAAAGACAGCTGTGTTTAAGCACATTATCATGCCCATGTCTTCTCCACAGCGAGCCACCTTGAAGAAGTTTTATCAGTGGTTTATCGCCTTATCATAACGAAAAGCTGTCAAGTGTCGAATCCCAGTATTCAGTTAGAAGTACATCTGTACTTCTTCACTGGGCCACGCTCTCTTCAAAGCGGTAGTCTCTCGCCGCAAAATGAATTTGTTTAGAAATGTTTCCTTAATTATTTTAAGTGTATAGAGTGGCTTATCCTAAACCACGTCTGACATGCCATCTGCGTGAGATAAGCTATCGATAGCGTGGAAGAAATTTGGTAAAAGAAACCTTCGTTAAACTCAATGGTGTCACGCAAACAGTGGCGCGCATTGGTTCGACCCGCAAAAGGCTTCCCAATTCTCCAGAGTCGGCAGATTGCTACGGTACTCGTCTTGAGGAAAGCTTCTCTCTGATTCCCAAGTGCGATTTTTTCCCAATGATTGCCAGTGTGGTGAAAACCATGAAACGTTCTAGCACGGCTATCGCACGATTTTAGGAGGAATGCATTAGATCAGGATTCGAGGCCATTAATAAAGCAGACCAAATCCTCAAGCAGCAGTCGAGACCACGGCAACAAGTTTGAAAATCGACGTGGTGGATGGTAGGCACGAAAAAAAAATACCGGACGAAAGAACTGCTAGGTTCTGCACAACATGTGGTGTTGGGTTGAAAAGAAAGAATACTTGGATACAAATGAGATCTGTCATTTTTTCAGAGAGTGGATAGCATAGTGGTAGTGATGCCGATCATTACTAGCACGGTTGTGGTTCGATACCGCTCCGGCCTCACTAAGCCTCGGATCTCTCTGGGGTGACGAAATTGGTAGAGCGGACTTCTCCGGCAAAACACTCTCTGCAATCCACCTGGGAACGTTCTAACGCGGATACCTTAGCACAGCAATGAGAATCGACTCGACCAACATTCTACGACATTCAAGATGAAACGGAAATTCTCAAGCAACAACCGAAGTCACATGTAAAAAGTTGGAAGACCTTTGTAGATAATGAATGTGAGGAAACAATCGATTGTGAGAAGTGCTGGGGTCCGCACGGTAGATGTGAAAGACGGGTTGCTTAAAA